TGTGAGCAATGAAACAACAACTTTAGGAAGAAACAGCCCCCATGGCAAAGCTGCTTGTGGTCACGTATCACCCATCGCCATGTAACTGCTTTGTTCCTGAGCTGGCATTTCCTGCCAGATGGACATTTGGTTATCAATGGAACTGGCCAACTTCATCAACACGACAATGAAGCATCCTGATGCCTGGATTTCACACCTGTCCAGATGCCATACTTCGAGTAAGATTTTAGGTTACAATATTGGCCATCCCTCCTAGGTAACCTCCCCACCCTACCTGCAACCAATAGGATTGTTTTGGGGACGGACTAAAAGGTAGGTGGGTCAAGAGGTTGGCACAGTTACCACCCATCTCTTGGACCCTCTATAAAAGAAGAGAACCAGTCACCTGGCCCCTCCTACCTGGCTAGATAGCATCTCCCCCACAACAACCCCTGTCTGCTTTTACCCCCCTTAAGTCCCACTTGCTATCCCCAACCCTTGCCTCTACTATTGATCTCTTGATCTGCAGTCAAGAGACCCACACGTTCCTGCTGGTTCTGGTAGTGTGGACTCCTTTGTTTTCCATTTCTTCCCCTCCATTCTTCATTGGAACAACCAAGCTGCAAAACAGATAAGTATCGCCCTTCATCACCCCTACCTGCTAATGCAACTGTGCTTATTTCCTACTGTAATTCTTAGAAACTTGATTGAATGTGTGAGTGCATCAGTATTGTTTGTATGAGATATATTTCTAGTAAAAGACATCGATTTTAACTACAACAGCCTCGAATCCTTTACTGATAACCCTTGGTGGGATCAGGACCTTGGTATAAATTGGCAAGAACCCATTTACAAATTGCCAATTGCTGTAAATAAAGCAATTCGGCTAACATTATTATTATTCATTTATTTATTTATTCAATTTTATACCCCGCTCCATTCCCCACAAGCAGGGTATAAGTCAACTTCAACACAAATGTTGTAAGAAAACATTGTGGGCAATCAGTATTGGGACAGGAGAATATATCTTTCTTTTTTTCTCAGTAAAATGAAGCTCTCTGCCTTGTGCACAGCTTTGGCTCATAGTGAGAGCTTCCCCTGCTATAGCTTTTGACATGTGATTGGTTATTGCTCCAAGCACTTCCTTTGATGTCAGAGTATGCTCCATGCAACCACCATTCTCAGCACAGGACTTCTTGACACCAGATGAGGACCCAGAGCCACTTCAAACTGCTGTAGCTGTTTAAAGCCCCAAAACAGCATGGAACAAGGGAAGGCTGCTGCAGATCTCTTGGGATATCTGGACTTAAGACAACTAGCTTCAAAGAGTGGAAACAGAAGCCAACATGAAGCCTAGAATAACACACTCAACAGTTACAGAGTTCTTGTACAATATTCTGGATAAGCATTCTCATATCCATTCCCAGACATTAATGAAAGACGTTTCATTAATCAAACTGGGGAGGGGAAGCAGTGCTTCATAAGCCTGTAGCATGGTTTAAAGTTCACACAAAGAGCTAATGAATGAAAGCCTCATCCTAAGTTTCGTGCCTCTTTCACCTTCTTGAAGTCAACCTTGGTGAGTGAACCCCACCCCTCACCATATCAGATGAAGACACCAGAAGAAAGAGTTGGCTCTTGACCTCCAATGCATGCTAACGACACCTGAGTGAAGATCCCAGTGTTTACCCTTTAAACAGCCAGAATGCCCACAATAGGAGAAAACAACAATTTGACTAGGAATCAGCTGACTCTCTCTGTTAAGTCAATTGCCTGTGTGTCCACTGCCATTGTTATATGCCCTATGAAAGATGTCTAGCCCAGGTATGAATCCAGGAAGCTGCTGCAGCATAAATATTTTTAACAAGGGGCATTGCACACAAGAATGCTAGAACAGCCCTTGTGGCATGGTTTTGCAGCTGTTAAAAAGGGCACACATAATTTGAGAGCATGAATCGCCATCATTCATAGCAGCCACTGAATCACTGCTATCATACCTTATTCTGTCGCCCCCCCCTTTTTTTTGGCCTGAGAATCAAAGAGATGAATGGTCTTTGGAACAAACATGCTAGCCCTGTTCTGCTGGACTTATATCTAGAACAATTAGCAGTTTGTAGAAATTGTTTGTTTTCATTAAGGCAACAACATCATGGCTGTGTTTCGTTAAATCTTTTATTGGGGAGGGGGAAAGCTATGCAGTCAAGCTAGTTTGTCTTATTTTGTACACACTTTTAAATTTCTTCCTAACATCTCCACTTCTGTGTTATTTAAAAATGCAAGCTTTTCCCTCTTCTATGTGCCAGGGAAAAAAATGTAATGCAGTAAAGGTGGGTTTTTTCTAACAGTTCAACAACTATAGAGCATCTGAAGAGGGTATCAGTGATTAACCCTGTGCTCTGGTCCAGCTCCCATGTATTTCAGTGGGCTCTTATGAATTATGCCCTTCTGTCTTCCTGTATCTACCACCTGCAGTAGTTTTTGCAGGCAGCGTATGCATTTTATATATGTACACACAGCATATCCCACTCATCTACTGAACTCTAGCATCCTTCCAACCATTCAGCAATAGTGAGGAAAACAGAGACTGAAGTCAAATCAAAGTATACAAGTCCAGGTAATCTAGGACTCATGGCATTATTTGTATTTTCTGGTCACAAAATATTTGCATCCACTGTCTGACTTTGGCCACAGAGTATTGTCCTTTATGTCATGGGCCAAAGGGCAAGACTGAAAACTAAGTCAACAGGGGATTGTCTTTTGATAGAGTTGAATACTGACCCTAAAGTTTATGATTCAGTGAAATAGGTGCCATACAGGCTGCTCTATCAATGTACATATCAACCCTATAATATTATTAAATGGAACCCTCTAAGGCACTTGTCGCCATGCTCAGGCTGCAAGCAAGAATGTAGACCAGGGTCTGAGCATGTATTTGACAACTATACCACTGTGTAGGGTTAGCACATACACCCATTGTGACAACTTGAATACCAGCCAGACACCCATCAATAGCTGATGGATTGTATTGCATACTACCAGACACCACAACTCAACAGTTCTAGCATCATCCTGTACCATAAAAGTTTCCCTAGAATGGGACATATACCCCCCAAAGAATAAAATAAGGAAGTGATTGAGGTACTCACCTGATGCAATGTTGAGAAGCTTGCAAGCGGTTTCAATGTCCTTGAGCACCTCACTCACCACCATGCTCTGAACTTGTTCCAGGGAGTGCTCTTCCAGATGAAGGCTGGCTTGGTAGTCCATATCAGGAGTGAGGCTCAAACCCTGACTGTCAATGATAGGGCACTGCTCGGGTTCTTTGGGCACTTCAGTCCTGCCCCCTTGGCTGGTGACTTGCTGGCTCTCACCCAGAGCCTTAGGGACCCAGTTGCTGTCTTCTGGATAAAGCATATCAAAGTACTGCAGGTAGAAGGTGGGTAGAGGTTGTTCAGGAGTGGCAGGTGGGCTAGGACTGTCAAGAGACCTCCAACTCTGGCTGTCTGAGTCTTGAGAAACAGGCAGCTTCTCCAGACCAGAAAGCAGCACAGTATCCTGAAAGGTGATCCGGCTGTAAGGCAGAACATTCAGGCCTTGGCCAGTACTGCCCATCACTCTACACAAGTTTGACTCCAGATCTGTCATCAAAGAAAAGGAGAAGGAAGGAAAGGGAGGAAAAAAACATGCATCAGTCAGAAAGGATGGTTTGATACTGATTTCTGCATTTCTGCCCAGTGATCAGGCACAATGAAGGAAAGCTAAGCCTGTTAAGGGAAAAGAAACCGGCAAAGAGTAACTCCATGGTCAAAGAGACCCCTAGATGAAAATAGGTTAAATAGCTCTTCATGGGCCCAGGCAACTCTTCCCTTCTGGGTCATTTGGCAATAAGAGGGCAAGGGAAGGAATCCTGTCAGTAAGGGTGAGGAGATAATCAAATACAGATGAATCATGGTTAGGATCAAATGATAACTTCCCGATAGGGAGACCAAATATCTTCCTAACCTCCTGAGATAGAAGCAATTGGGGTGACAAAAAGATAAGAATCTTTAATGTGATGAACCAATCAGTGATACATATAGAAAAGCTACATTTTTTTCAAAATGTAGACAAAAATCTGAAACGTGTTCAAATCACATATAGTGTTGGGTGCTGAATGTTCAGAAACAGGAGTTGTTACGCACAATCTGGTTTTTGTGCAATATGCATGTCTGTGTCTTTCCATTTATTGCTCATTTGCTGGACATCTCCTCTCAGATGAGCACTTCTGTTTCAGGACTATCGTGTTAACTACCTCATCCTAGGGTTGCCAACTTCCAGGTGGTAGCTGGAGATCTCCTGGGATTATGACTGAAGTCCTTTCCCTCCCCAAACCACACTCTCTCCAGGCTCCACCCCCCAAAATATCTCCAAGTATTTCCCAACCCAGAATGGGCAACCCTACTAACAAGAAGAAATTCTGTGAAATCTCCAGAAGTTGGTTTGATCCCCCACCCCCGCAGTCATTGATGTTTTCCAATTATTTTTGGGCTATGCAAGACGGCATGTTACCTTAGGAGGGGAAGGGCTGGTGGCACTGCAGTGGAGCTCATCTCTGCATGCAGAGAGCCCTAGGTTTGATCCCTGGCATTTCCAGTTAACTCATGCAATGAGTGTTATAAAAGACCTTTCTCAGCTGAGACTTTGGAGACCCACTGCCAATCGGAATAGAGCTACATGGACAAATAGCCTGATATGGTAAAAGGCAGCTTCATATGTTCCCAGACAGCAAGTTTCACTTTCTTAGAAGTCCAGAGTAGGTGCACAGGGGATAGAATTTACATTTGAACTGTGATCCTAAACACATTTACTTGGAAGCAAGTCCCACTAACATCCGCAGGATTTATTTCCATTTATTTCCACGGTCCAAACAAAATGGCAGTGACAGGCTGAAAATGCCCTATCAGAGCACTTACATCCCGACTACCACTTGTCTTGCAATATTGATTTCACAACCCATCAAAAGTGAGAAGTACAGTAGTGAGAGGCTAGGGAAATGGGCCAGAATCACAGAGGAAGCCCATGGCAGGGCATCCTATCCAGGCTATTGCAGTACCCCTTCTTTTGCTTGCCATGATATCTCACAAAGAACTGCACATTTTAAAGTCATTATGAAGTCAGCAGGACAGATGACACCCAATAGATTCCCGGTCCTAAGCCTTTTTAACCCCTGAAATCATGATTTGAAGGAACTTTCCAACTTGTATTCTTTTAATCTGCCTTTTAAAACATCTCGTCCATCTGGCTTGGGTACAGAGAAGCCTGGACTTGACAGAGGAGGGGATGAACCTGATGAATTTCCATGGCAACCTTTGATCTGTCAATAACCAAACAGAAAGCCTGATGTTCCCTGAGGCTTTAAAGAAAAAATCCTTCTGAAATGAGAGTTCAGTTAAAAGGCTGCTGTTGGGGTCAGGTCACCCTGTGTGCAATTCGGAGACTATTGCTCACATGGCCCGTTCTTTTTATGGGTATTTTCCCCTTCCCACCAAAAATCCAACTAATATTTTCTCTCTCTAGAAATCTCATCTGAGATGTCAGAGTTTAGGGTATCATCAAATCAGCACTATGGAAATGTGCAGCTGTGAGTACACAAAGATTCAACAGTAGCCAGGGCTACAGATCTTTGTATCTCCAGGGTCTTTGGTGGAAAATTCCCCCCCAAAAAATGGCTACCTGAGATCCTTTACCTGGAGAGAGCAGGGACTGAAAATGGGATTCTATGTACAAAACGCTGGCTCAGTTATTGACATACATTCTCTCCCTTAAAGGCTGGGCATTTTAACATCCCAACTCTTGTTTTAACAGGCTAGACATTTTTAATCATTGTATTTTAATTGATAGTTTAACATAATTCTCTTCCCGGATTTTCCTGTTGGCTTCTTTCATTTGTTTGCATCAAATCAGTTTGGTAATCACTGCATTTATAACATTAATTTCGCAATCACAAGTATGCTGCATTGGATTGTCTACAGTAATTTGTAATACTCATATAAGAGCACATATAAGACATATAAGAGCACAGTTATCAGGTTCTAGACTTTTAAAATAGCATAGCAGGCATGCTTGGAGAAAATGAAGATGAAACTTTTCTATTTAACAACCCTCTGCTTCTAATAATGGAGTCCTAAACAGATTGCCTGTGTGGACTTGGAAGAATGTAGCTCTGGTTAAGACTGCACTGCAAGCCTCTCAAGGCTTCACTGTCACTTACTACGTAGTCCCATTATCAGGGGTCACAGTTCCCTTACAATCCTGCCCTGATTCACAGAATCTGGCCTTCAGCAGAGCATCTGAGGAATCTTCACCCTCATTGACGAACAGCAGTGAACAAACCTCTAGAATCTGCCTGAGCCCTTCTGACTAAATAAATGTGTCCTTTATGAGGGACTTTGTTTACTAAAATGTTCTGTACAGTACGTTAATAATTTTGTTCATTTCCTTGTGCCAAAAAAAAAAAATCATTTGCTTGCTGCTGTACCCCCTAAGGGCTAGACCTATCTTTACTCCCTACCATGAATGATATATGGTAAATAACAGGCAATTAAATGTTACTAATTGCTGCAGGCCTGTCCCTCCTTACCCATGACTGGCCAAAGAAAGACAACTGAAACATTTGCATCATACAATTCGAGTTCTTCTTAAAACACATCAGGGACACTCGTTCCTGTTCCTACCACACAAAGTGCTTTGATGTCTCCAATTTGCTCTTACAAAGGTTTCTTAATTACCTCTGTAAGGGTAATTAGAGCACATTTAAAAGTCATGCAGATCTGCATAGCTCCAGTTGAAGTCAAGATGCAGCTCTTGGTGCTGCAGATTTAGAAAATGAGGCACAAATTAGGGAAATGGATTAATTTGAAAGAGTTCAAACATAGGCACTTTGGAGCTTTGAGAATACAGAAGACACCCTGACCTGGATAGCCCAGGCAAGACCAATCTCATCAGATCTCAGAAGCTAAGCAGGGCCGACCCTGGGAAGTACTTAGAAGGGCAACCTCCAAGGAATACCAGGGCAGGGAAACAGTGGCAGGTAATATCAAGTCACCTCTCTGAAACATCCTAGCCCCACTAGAAGTCACCAGAAGTCACCATGACTTCCAGGTTCACAAGAACACACACACATACACACAAAGAGAGAGAGAGAGAGAATACAGAAGACATTCCAAACTCTAGTCATGTGTTTTGACAATTATGCAGTGCAATCACTTTCTTGGCAACATGCCATTGTTTAAAAATGGTAAATTATACCTTATAACTGAAATAAAGACCCACAGCCAGATAAAGATTCAATAGAGAACCTGTCTGATAATTTTTTAAAAAATGAGTTGTATTTGTAATTCTGGAAATCACTACTCATCAAAACATAATTTCAGAGGCTGACATTTTAAAAACCATATGGCTGCCAAATGGGATTCACTGTCACAGGAGGTGGTGGCGGCTACAAGCATGGGCGGCTTCAAGAGGGAATTAGATAATCACAAGGGGCGGGACCCGCGATACTCGCGGGAGGGGGGGAGGGAGCTTCACACCTATGAGGAAGAGGAGGAAGCAGGAGGAGGAGGTAAGTTCCCCCCCATCCCGCTGGTTCTCCCCGTCTCCTCCACCCCCCCTCCACC